ATCTGGGCTGTTTCCAGCTTCTGGCTATTACAAATAAGGCTGCTACAAACATGGTTGAGCAAATGTCCTTATTGTTTACTTGCGAATCTTTTGGATATATGCCTAGGAGTGGTATAGCTGGATCTTGAGGAGGCACTATTCCTAGTTGTCTGAGAAAGCGCCAGATTGCTTTCCAGAGTGGTTGTACAAGTTTACATTCCCATCAGCAGTGGAGGAGGGTTCCTTTTTCTCCAAAAGCATGTGTTGTCTCTTGAGTTTTTGATCTTAGCCATTCTGATGGGTGTAAGGTGAAATCTTAGGGTCGTTTTGATTTGCATTTCCCTGATGGCTAATGGGGTTGAGCATTTATTTAAGTGTTTCTCTGCCACATGGTATATACTCACTCATATAGACATATAATATAGGATAAACCTACTAAGATCTATACACCTAAAGAAACTAATTAAGAGGGAGGACTCTTGCTAAAATGCTTAATTCCTATCCAGAAAGGCAAAGAGGCTGGACATCAGAAGAAGGAGAAAAGTGGGAATAAGTCAGGAGCCTGACACAGAGGATCTCTGAAAAGCTCTGCCCTGCAGACTATTAATGTAGATGCTGAGACTTATGGGCAACCTTTGGGCAGAGTGCAGGGAATCTTAGGAAAGAAGTGGGAAACAGTAAAATCTGGAGAGGACAGGAACTCCACAAGGAGAGCAACAGAACCAAAAAATATGAGCACAAGGATCTTTCCTGAGACTGATACTCCAACCAAGGACTATGCATGGAGATAACCTAAGACCCTTGCACAGATGTAGCTCATGGCAGTTCAGTATCCAAGTGGGTTCCATTGTAATAGGAACAGGGACTGTCTCTGACATGAACTGATTGCCCTGCTCTTTAATTACCTCCCCCTGAGAGGGAAGCAGCATTACCAGCCACAGAAGAAGACAATGCAGCCACTCCTGATGAGACCTAATTGACTAGGATCAGAAGGAAGGAAAAGAAGTCCTCCCCTATCAGTGGACTTGGGGAGGGGCATGCATGCAGAGGGTGGAGGAAGGGAGGGGTTGGGATGGGAGGAGGGAGAGAACCACGGGGGGGGGGATACAAAGTGAATAAAGTGTAATTGATAAAGAAAAAAAAAGAATTAAAAAAAAAAGAATGGAGACTGAGCAAGAAACAGTGGGCTGGGCCGTCCTGCATCAATCACTAATTAAGAAAATCACCCACAGGGTTGGCTGTGAGAAATTCTTGTACCCATGGTGCTCTCTGCTAAGAAAACTCTAGCTTGTGTCAAGTTGACAAAACAAAAGAAAACAAAACAAAACACAAAAATACTAACCAGGGTGCTTTATGTATGGTAATAATGCACCCTGTGCTAATAGTTGGAAACTAGATCTCACTGTCAGGTGCTCGCATGAATAACTTTGGAAGTGTAATAATAAAAAGGTGAATGGTTGTAAATGAGTATAACATTAATACGAAAATGTCAGGGACGATACTACATTTTTATTTTTATAGAACATGTATGTTACTTGAGTGCTTTCTGTTTCCATCCTTCTGAAAAGCATTGCTTAGCTGCATGGACAGTGCATGTGATTGCCATCAGAATGCTCATTTCCCTATTTCTGTCTCTCTATATTTTTTTCCCTCAGAGGACCATTAGTTGAAGGGACCCCACCTCCTACTTTAGAGCATTAAATTATTTCTCTTTTATTATTTTTTATAAACTTATTTTTATTAATTTTTATTTTTTATATTAATCACAGGTTATTCACTTTGTATCCCAGCTGTAGCCCCCTTTCTCATTCCCTCCCACTCCACCCTCCCTCCTTCACCTCTCCCTGCCGCTTTCCAAGTCTACTGATAGGGGAGGTCCTCCTCTCCTTCCATCTGACCCTAGCTTATCAGGTATCTTCAGGACTGGCTGCCATGTCCTCCTCTGTGATCTAGAAAGGCTGCTCCTCCCTCGTGGAGGGGACGGGGTAAAGGAGCCCATCATTGAGTTCATGTCAGAAATAGTTCCTCTTTAACTTACTAGGGTACCCACTTGGATACTGAGCTACCATGGGCTACATCTGAGCAGGGGTTCTAGGTTATATCCATACATGGTCCTTGCTTGGAGAAACAGTCTCATAGAGAACCCCTGTGCCCTGATATATTTTGTCCTTGTGGAGCTCCTGTCTTCTCCCAGTCATATTACCTTCCCCTTTTATTGTATGATTCCTTGCACTCTGCTGAAGGTTTGATTATGAGTCTATACATCTGCTTTGATACACTGCTAGGTAGAATCTTTCAGAGACCCTCTGCTGTAGGTTCCTGTCCTGTTACTTGTTTTCTCCTACTTCCCATGTCCATCCCATTTGTTTTACCAAGTGAGCATTGATCATTTTACCCTGGGTGTTCTTTCTTGTTTATCTTCTTTAGGTCCACGTATTTTAGTATGTTTATCCTATCTTATAGGTCTATATAAGTGAGTATACACCATGTGTGTCTTTCTGCTCCTGGGATACCTCACTCAGGATGATCTTTTCTAGATCCCACCATTTGCCTGCAAATTTCATGATTTTCTCCTTTTTGATTGCTGAGTAGTATTCCACTGTGTAAAAGTACCACAATTTCTGTATCCATTCCTTCGTTGAGGGACATCTGGGTTGTTTCTAGTTTCCGGCTATTACGAATAAAGCTGCTACACACATGGTTGAGAAAATGTTCTTGTTGTGTACTTGAGCTTTTGGATATATGCCTAGGCATTAAATTATTTCTTATCATAGTAGTTTCTTAACAATCGTTAGATTTTTTTTAAATTATATGGTGATAAACACAAATGCATTGGGAGACTATCTTTTTGAAGTTACATATCACAAGAGTAATCTAGTTCACAAGGAGAAGATACAGAGTTTGAAACTGTAGAGAGAGGCCAGGTTACTGACAAGTATCTGTCTGAGACTCAGATTTTTAGATCTGACACCTGAGCAAGACTTTTCTCAACATCTTAGCCAGTGGGCCCAGTCTTCTCCAGCAGCTACAGTCTATAATGATTTTATGTTTATTGTTTTATCTTCTCTCTGTCTTATCTCCATAGGGGCATACTTATCTTCAACATTTCCTCCCCAGCACACAGTGTGCAGTGCCTCAGACAGGGTAGACTGAGTATGTTTATAATAAATGGCTTCATTAAAGTGCGTAGCCATACACCTGATAGGTCGAAAGCAGGGAAGAATCAGAGAAAACTGCAAGTGGTTTCAGTTTGAGGGATAAAACATTACACCATTGCTTTAGGCATCAATTGTCCATGAAATTTTTTTTTTACTACCTTATTTTGCTGATGGAAGTACTTCGGGCCCCAAAGCTTAAGGTGCCATGGAAGATGGATACAACCATTATAATGTAATAATAACAATAGTGAAAAAGGAGGGAGGGGGAAAGAGTAGGCTAAAGTCACATAGGCTGTTTTTATAGGGGGTAAAATCTCTTGGTAGCTAATTCCAAAAATAGTCTTTATCTAAAATAAAATCATTACTCCAGTAGTTGCCTCTAAGCAATACATTAACTCAGAGATAACTGCATTGCTCCAAATGTGTCAGCATTTAAAGTCTATCTGGCTGAAATTTTTCTTAATTTATTGCTACCTAATAATGGTAGAAAACATCATTTGTGTTTGACAAAGAGTTATGTTTTAACCATGAACATTCATTCAAGTATATAACAAGGAATGATTGTTCAGCTAACATTATTCTTTCTAAGGAATGTGATGTTTATTCATGTGTGCTTGGTGAATGAATTCTTTATAAGCATATTAACAAGACGTAAAAAACAATCAGATTCCTGGATCTTTAAAAGATAGCTTCATAGAATAGTACAAAAATTAGGGTTAGTGCAGGTGATTAACAGTATCCTGGGTGCAGTGTTTAGTCTGAATCAAATACATATTTGGGCACAGAAATAACTATGGTAATTTCATCAACTGAAATATGATGAGTAAGCTCTGTCATGTTGTTGATGGAAAGAAGTCAGCTTACACTTGAAAAAAGGTTTCTCACTTGATTGGCTTTCTCTAGCCTCTTCATTTATTACATAAATATACTCTCCAGGGTAATTGCCTAAAAAAAAAAAATCTTTGACTTGTGAAACAGAAAATACAGTGAGGGTTTCTGAGTATTATTGGTTTCATTTTGTGTCCTTTTCGGGGTGCAACTGGTTTTGACAGATGTTCTACTATGTTACCACTGCAGTAAGACATCTTTTTCAAGATGAACTGAGTAAGAGTGAGCCTGACAATGAGTAGGTAAGACACTGCCAGAAAGCCAAAAAACAGGTCGATGTCAAAGCATGACATAAATGCGGTAGAGTAAACCTCACAATACCATTAGACTAATGTCTTTCTAACAATGCCCTTGAGAAAGCAGAAAATAGCCTTGTCCTTAAGTACTATCACTTAGTCATGGAAATAATATACTGAGACAGAAGGCAAAGCCAAGTTAATAGACACTTGAAGTGGACATAAACATATATATGTATTCACACACATATCTACTTTGTGGGTGTGTATGAATAGATGTGATCTCTGTTATATACAGCATGTCTGCAAGAATTTGAGATAGTCAAACTATTTTTTTAGCTTTTCCCCCAAATTAATGTCAACAGTCAAAGACCATTATTAAACTATGGATTTTTAAATATGTAGTATTATAAAGTGGCTATATATATATATATATATTCATAATAATTTTTTGATTTTTCTTTCATAGAATAAGACTAGCCTTTAGTAACATAAGAAAATTTGAGGTTTGCATTTCAAGAATATTTCTAAGTCATGAATTTTGTGAATAGTTAAAATGATTCAGATAGAATTGAATCAATTTTGGAATTTGATGGATTAGGTATTTGTTGGTATGATATCACACACACATGCATACACACATACATATGGACACACACACATATCACAGTAGTCACCATGCATCAGTATAAACTACATTTATGCGTAGAATGGTGACTTTCACTCTCTTTGTCTCTAGGGTCAGTGGTGATTGATCTTGATGGGAAAAGCTCCCTCCTCTACAAATTTGATCAAAACTCCTTGGGTCCAATAAAAGATATCATTTCTTTGAAGTTTAAAACCATGGAGAGTGATGGGATCCTGCTTCACAGGGCAGGACCTTCTGGGGATCACATCACGTTGGAGTTAAGAAGAGGAAAGCTATTCTTACTTATTAATTCAGGTAAGATTAGTTGGTGAAGCTCTCGGAAGGTCTGATCATTGCTTATCACTTATGTTTTCATAGCTCACTTCTTTTGACATTTAAAGTACCTTGCTTTACCATTTAAGGACTTGTGTGTATGCTGAGCGCCCATATGATTCATGCCTGCAAACTGCACAAACCCCTCTTTGAATGCTCTTTCCATAACTCTGACAGAGTTCCACAGTTATTTCCTAGCCTCATAAAGGATGGGATGGGTCATTGAAAAATATTACAGCCGTAAAAATAATGAGCTTGTAGCAAAGATAAAATTTACATAGAAAATGAGCTGGCAATGGGTAATAATAATAGAAAGAATTAACAGTGGAGGGAATGACAGCAAGGTTGAGAGATCATTATAATCAAGCCTCAGGTAAATCCACACTCGTGTTCAGGATGGCATGCATGGAAGAAGGTTGCAAATTATGTGAGAGATGCTGGTGCAAGGTGAAGCTCCCCACCCTTTTTAAATGAATCACAGGGCTATCATTTTTCCTTCTAGGTGAAGCAAGACTGACCTCTAGCTCCGCCCTGATCAACCTCACCTTGGGCAGCCTGCTAGATGATCAGCACTGGCATTCTGTGCTCATCCAGAGACTGGGCAAACAGGTCAACTTTACAGTGGACGAGCACAGGCATCACTTCCATGCCCAAGGAGAATTCAATTACCTGGATCTTGATTATGAGGTGTGGTGGCTACATTTCAATTAATACAGATTTGATGCTGTATATGTTGTTTAATTTCCTAGCCAGAAAGAAAGAAAGAAAGAGCTGTAAAAACACACCTTCAGAATAAATCGCCAGGCTGATGAAGCTTTCCTAAGGTGGTCTAACTCACTCTAATAGGGAAGTTGAGGTCTGTCGTTAATTATATGTATATATGTATCATTATTGCACATGGCCATCATTTCACCTGACATACATAGTCACAGTCCTTTCCCATGAGGAGATCTCAATGCAACATGCGAGGTCTGATTTCTGTGTGTTCTACCCCTGAGAAATACAGATTTATGAGAGAATATAACGGCAAACAGATTAATTCATTAACAACCAATTTAAATATGCAAATAGCAATGTGTGCTAGAAACATATACAAAATAAAATGTCATAATTAGCTACATTATTAAATAGACCCAAGTTCTCTGGTGAATAGAAAAGTGTATTTTTCTTCATTAAGCAATAAATATCAAAACCAGGTGTAATTAGTGACTTGGAAGAATAATCAAGCTGTCACACAAATGAAGACTAAATGCACATAAATTTGTTTTTAAAAGTTGTATCTTATTTTTTTTTCTATGAGTGGTGTTTTAAAGTTATCTTCACGATGATTGCTGTTATAATTGCTAATCATAATTATTTAAACAGGTTATCATAAACTCACTAAACAATATTATTGATGCCATTTTTCTTTCTAAGATCAGCTTTGGAGGGATCTCAGCACCTGCAAAATCAGTGACATTGCCATACAAACCCTTTCATGGCTGTTTAGAGAACCTCTTTTATAATGGAGTGGACGTCATTGGCTTGGCTAAGCAACACAGCCTTCAGATCACCACCATGGTAAGAATCTCCATGTGAAGGAGTAAGATGTATCTTTTCCAAATAAAATTGTTCCACTTGAGGGCCTTGCTTAGTAAGTTTTAGACTTGGCTCTTATTCGAAATTTCGGTCTGGTTGACAGTAAGCACATAGGAGATTAATTCTATTTAGGGGAATTACAATTCACAAAACACAACTATTTTTTTCATGTGTTTATTTTCGTATCAAGTAAATGTGTATTTTCCCTGGGGAGACACAGCGCACACACGTACATGCACACATACAAACACATACACTGACCCCAACCTCCTCACCTCAGAAAGACCAAAGTAATGATTCCACCGAAGTTCAACTTGGTTAAGCAATGAGTTTCTATTTGGGTAGCTAATACGCGTATGGGTACCAGGCTACTTACAAAGCTGCTGCATCACAGAAACAGCCACCCCAACACAGGTGATGAGTCACAGAGCTGCAGCTCTAGAGCTCTTTCCTCACAGGTTGGCTGATCAGACTCCTCCTGTAGTAATTGCTTATGGTGTCTATAAAGCTGGGGAGAAGACTTCCAGAATTTCTAAGCTTCAGCTTTCTAAGACATGTGATGTTTAGCTTAGCTCCTGAATTTCATGCACCAGCCCCTCTCTCCTAGATGGACCGTGTTAATTTGGAGGAAACTGTCATACAGCAGTAAACAAACAAACAAAAAAAAATAGTATGGAAAATATTTTTAAATTGTGATACGGTTTTAATTTTGTTGTGGTGGTTTCAGTTTTGTGAAGATATTACTCTTGGTAGATTATTTATTTTGTTTCTGTTTTATTTAAGAAGTTATTCCCTGACCAGGTCATTGGATGAGCACAGAGCCTCAATATTGAGTAGATTCCTGGTGTGTTACCAAGATGCTAGAAACACTTGTATTTGTCCTCATCATTCATAACAAATAAAGAACTTATAGGTACAACATTATAGCTGCTAAGCTGTCTATACAGCAATATTGTCCGGGTTTCATTATATCTAGTCCATGGAAATATGGCAGCATTTAGCTCTAACTATTGGTCATGGCTCCACCAGGGAAGCAATAGCAGAGTGGCAAACAAGCCACCTTTCTCTGTACTTTGATCTTAGGACTTAGCAGAGGAACCATGAAGTGAAGGCCTGAAATGAGAAGGCTACTACCTGTCCAAAGCCACAGTTTGAATGGCAGAGAATTTGTGGCTTATTCAGAGATGAAGTTTCTGAGGGTTCTACAGGAGCTCTTGCCTCTGGGTGCCTTCTGTCCCTATAAATCCAAGTCACACATCTGGGGCAGGCATCCGCTTGGCTTGCTGCTGCCCAGCAGGACCAGCTGTCATGACAAATAGGTGGTGCAGAGTGAAGGAGAGCAGTGGGATAAACCAGCGTCCCTCTGCCTGCCATTATGCCCACATATGGGAAGTGGGGGAGGAGGTACATGTTCTGTTTTTTGTTTTTGATTTTGCGTGTGAGTGCATGCGTGCAAGTGGAGGCTGAGGAGGCTTCAATCACTGTTCTACCTTACTCACTGAGACTGTCCCAGGCAACCAAACTCAGAGCTTGCCTACAGGCTGCTGGCCAACTTGCCCTGGGGATCTTCCTGTCTCTGGCTACTGAGGGTGGAATTATAGGTAGCCTCCCCCGCCACCCTTCTAGCATCTATGTGGAGTTCTGGGAATCCAAAGCCCAGTCCTAAAGGTAACACATCAAGTTCTTTGACTGTTGAACATCTTCCCAGTCCCAAGCCTGGCTTTCTTTTCTTTTCTTTTCTTTTCTTTTCTTTTCTTTTCTTTTCTTTTCTTTTCTTTTCTTTTCTTTTCTTTTTTTCGTGGGTTCTGGAAGATGGAACTCCAGTCTTTCTTCTAGCAAGCAAGCAGTGAGTATCACTGTAGGCTTGTGTTCATCCTTCATTGTACATGATTCCCAACACCTTTGGGACAAAATGGCTGATGTTCTACTTCTGATTGTCAAATATCATTCTGAGTTTTGAGGGAGCTTCTGGCTAGAAGCAGACAAGGATTGTAATCCTGGGGAACATGGTTTCCAACACTACTATTTTGATAATAAAGTGCAGATGTAAATGGTTTTTCATTAATTTCTTTCATTGCTTAAAATCTAAAATATGTAAATTGAATCTCATGTTGTGCAGAAAATCCCAGAGAACATCACAAGAATATTTATTATAGAAATGATTTCATTCCCAATTCTCTGTGAATTTGTGCTTTGTGTGCTCCTAACATCCAGTAAGATTTTGTATTTCATTACTTTCCTTTGTTAAAGGGAGATAATTTAAAAGGAAATACAGAGAGATGTGTTTGCAATTCATCCTAAATGATGTTTCTACACAACACTGGGCCAAGAGCCTTACAGATCATGGGCAAGAGGATGTGCTGTGTGTAAGACAGGAGCAGGGAGCTACCCAAATAAAGCATAGGGTCAAACTGCAGCCGATAACTGCTCCCATCTCCACAGGGTTTGATAGTCTTTAAATTTCCATCACTTTGTATGTTAGTTTATAGGTTAGCAGTTAGCATTCTGTGCTCTCAAGCTTTTAACATTTCACCCAGCATACAACATACAAAGTTGTACAAAGTGAAAGTTCAATTTTTAACAGAATCATTTGTTTTGTTTGTTTGACCAAGATTTTCTCCCAATGTTTATTCTTCTCAATAAAGTTGATTTTGTTGACTTTGCAAGTCTATGCAAATGTTGAAGAATGATGACAAAACCTAGGAACACACTTCAAGAACTTTTAAGATAAATGGCAAAGATTTGAGCCTTCCATGGTAATGACAAATTGTTTTCAGGCTAGAATAATACTAGATTGATAAGCAGACTTTACGAGCATGCAAGTTCCATACAGTGATGAGCTGAATGCCTTTTCTTGTCCTTTGTCCTCAGGGAAATACATCATTTTCTTGTTCACAACCACAGTCTATGCCTCTGACGTTTCTGAGCTCCAGGAGTTACTTGGTACTCCCAGCACCTTCCAAAGACGAAGCCATCTCAGCTAGTTTTCAGTTCCGAACCTGGAATAAGGTTGGACTTCTGCTCTTCTGTGAACTTCAGGTGGTTTCAGGCGGTCTCCTCCTCTTGCTCAGCGATGGGAAACTTAAACTGAATCTCCACCAGCCAGGAAAGTCACCCGGTGACATCACAGCAGGTAATAAATGTATTCCTGCAGGCAAAGCATATGGATTTGAAAGATTTCATTATCTCTGTGTCCCTTCTCCAGAAATTTTATGCATAACCCAAAATTAATATTTGTTTAATAAATGGATACTTGAGTTAATAAGATTGTCAGTACCCTTCCTTAGAGGAGCTTGATTCCAATTTTCTTCTAAATATGATTCCAGTACTCAAAGTTCTTATTAACATAGTTGATAATGACGAGGGAATAGAAATTTCCATCCATGACCCTTTTACCAACTCATACAAGTCATCAACCTAGCAGGAGGAAATGGGTTTGGGGGGGAAAGTGAATGGCATTGAAAACAGGCCAATAAGTTAACTGGATGTCTTTGGGTGAAAAATTAGACTGTTAAACAGCTATTTTCCAAGACTGTGTGAAGCATAGCAGAGGCCACATTGGCACCTATATCTATCTGTCATTTTGTACTAATATGCAAATGTACCTTGCAATGGTTGGGTACATTTATAAAGAGGCAAAGATTTGTACAAAATTTGCCATTTAGATACCAATTAAAGTTTTCAGCATTCGTTTACAATATGGTATCCTTTTATCAATTAGAGGTGATATAATTAAGGTGACTTTATATGTGTGTTGAAAATTAATGTTCAATCTAGGTCAGAGCTCTGAGTGAGGGATATTTTTGTCTCTTCATTAAAAATTATATAGTTCTCAACAAGGAATCTCCATTACACTTTTTCATATATAGAGTAGCATCCACTTCTGGCAGCTAGAGGTTAAACTGGGGTAAATTGCTACATTAAATTAATAAATGATTTTTAAAAAACAATTTATAGCTGATATTGTACAACTATTGTACAATATTATGCTAACTATGACCAGGATTTATAATAGAATTTGATTGGGGAAGGAAAAAAAATGAGAAAAGTTAAAATAGAGTTTGAAAATAATAGGAAAAACATGTATACTAATTGATCCTAATGTGGTGCTTTGTTAGGTTTCTATTGCTATGATAAAATACCATGACCATAAGGAATTAGGAGAGAGAAAGATTTCCTTCACTTATATTTCTATATCATATTCTACTATCAGAGGAGTCAGGACCAGAACCTGGACACAGAAGCTGATGCAGAGGCCATGAAGGAATACTTCTTACTGGCTTTCTTTTTATGCCTAGCTCGGCCTGCTCTCTAAGAACACCCAGAACCATTAACCACGGGTTGGCACTGACCACAGTGGGCAGGGCCCTTGCATGCCATCATCAATCAAGAAAATGTATCATAGTCTTATCCACAGGCCAATCTGGTAGGGGCAGTTTTTCAGTTGTGTTTTCTTCTTCCAAAAACAACAGCAACAACAACAACAACAAAACCCTCTGGCTTGTGTCAAGTTGACATAAAGCCAGCCAACACAGGAGCCTGTTGTCTGTATGTTTTTATTGCCATTCAGGTACCTGTATCACCTCAGTTTAAGTTCGCGTGCTAGGGAGTCAGGATTAATTATAATTTTTTAGAGGCACTATGCTGTGACTTTTTTATGTAATGTTCAATGTGTTGGATTTGTAGTCTGGACAAAAAGAAATAAATTAATCAGTGTCATATGAATAATTAAGAGGCTCCTGAAGCGAGAGTCTAAAATTGTAAGCTTGTCATTAGGGCGTAGCGTACTGGGATGCATTTGACATCCTCTGAAGTGGCTACAGCTATAGTTTAATTTTCAATCTTAAAGAAACTGCTTCAGTACATTACTGTAGTGAGCCGCATGAAGCTAACTCACTTCCAACCTCTTTACAGGAATATATGGTTAATAAATTACTAGGTATAGCAATGCGTCAAATACCCTAAGTGATTTTAAAATCTCTAAATGAGTGTTTGAATACAGACACAGCATAATTCATTATGTTATCACATGACTTTATATGACTATTTTCATAGCTTACAATAAGGAATCTAACTATGAGTGTCAGCATAGTAAAATATATTACACTGCAAATAGCAAAAGTTGGCTACCAACTCTCTCTACTCTTGCTTTTCCAGTTTCTTTCAAAATTATATATGTAATAACTATGAAAGTTTAAGCCATCCTTATGTAATAAGAATATTTAGTATCATATATTACCAATCTAACTGTCATGCATGATTTATTTAAAGTCATCATAATTCAGCAATTGGTTTGGTTGTCGAACTTATCAAGTGAACCCCAAGTGGGTTATATTATATACATATATACATACACATATGTAATATGTAATATGTATATGTATATGTATACGTATATGATGTATATATATATATATATATATATATATTTGTGAATTCCAGTGTTGCAAATTATTTTTAAATTTACAAATAAGTTATTTAAGTTGTAGTTGAATACCCAGTTAGTTTCGCTTCCCATAAGAAATGACCTTCCACTTGGGGACATTTGGGGTATTATACTAGACTAAATCTTTTCATTTATATAAGGATGGCTTAAATGTTCATAGTTCCTAGACATATAAATTACTAATCTTAAGGGTTTGCAAATTCAAAATATTTTTTCCTTTCATAGTGAAAAAAAACTAAATTATATGTAGAAAGTACTGAATTATGCTAATATTTGAATTACAAGGTTAAATTTGTAATGGGATGTACCATTGACAAATTGTCATTTGAAATTTGAAAATATTATGTGAACCTAAGGCATCCTTGAAATATTAATGATAGTATATTAGCCTAAATCTTGGAACATTTTTAACAGTCTCTGAAATCCCTTATGATACAAGATATTTCAGCTTTTGTCATTGGTACAGGAGATGTGAAATCAAAGCCAGTCCAGATGACATCAATGACCTACTGTAACAATGCAGTTACATTTTCTTATTGAAAATGAAATTCTTCATTGTCTAGTTTGAAGTTTCTACAATGGTTTTAATATTTGACAGAATGGTGGAAATCAGTCTCATGAACAAGCCTTTTGGCCCAACAGCAACATTGCTTGCTGTAAGCCTGCATATACTATCAGAAGTGTGTCTGCTGTTTAGATAGACATTTCCAATGCTTGTGCTCCTCCAAGGGCACAGCCCTCCTGGTGTGTCTTGCTTAGAAAAAGGCATTTTTCAGTTCTGTTTCATCCCTTTCCTTGTTAAACTCTTCCTCTCCTCATACTGTAAACCTGTCACCTTTAAACTCCTGCCCTCCACTGAAGTGATAGTCACCAATGACCCCCATATTTTCCCCTTGACAAGAGCTATCCAGTGATCTGGGTTCTTAATGCTAGCTAGTCAAGATAGTAAGTGTAGGATTCCTGGTGATTTCAGAGTGCTGAGGTATATTTGGAAATGGGTACCATTCTTCAGTGGTTCCTTGAGTGATGGCACACATGTAATTGCCTTCTGCACCTTTGCAGAGGATCTCCCCTAAGCAGCAGGCTTAGTTATTGTCCTTTATCCATCTTCCCTTCTAGATGTCTGTTGCAGTCTTGGCAGAGGCTGAGGGCAGCTGAACTGTCGGAGCATTTCTATAGTAATTTACGATAGGCCTGGAGATTACCCAGAAGAAAGCAGATAAAAACTTCTTCCTCCCTGCTATAATTTGTATGATGATATGGTTTGAGCCAGAGATGGGTTCAGGGATTGGGTTGAGGAAGAGAAGGTTCTAGAACAATTCTGTTCTCCCCAGCACCTGTGATGGGAAATGCTTCCATTTATTATTCAGTTCTTATGTTTGAGGTTGACAGTGTTCCCCTTCCTCAGTCACCTTGAACATATTCGGAGTTTGAACACATTGAGTCTGTCACTTGTTGCAAGAGAAACACACACTGAGACTCACACAAGGAGCTTGCCACAGAAGTATTACGAATGACATAAACTGTGGATGCATGTTCATTGACTGTGGTGTCTAGAAAGCAAACATTGGCTGTAGAGTAAATGCCCTTGGGAGGTAAGGTTAACTCTCTGATTTGATATTTTTGTAATCTTAATCTAGAAGGATGGAGGTATGAAATATAAGGCTGGAGGAATTGCCAAAAGAGAAATCAGTAGTTGCGGTAGCCATTTTAGTGTGTGTTGCTGGGACACCAAACCTGGCAGAAGCAGGGTAAGGGCAGAAGGAGCTGTTTTAGCTCATGGCATCAGGAGAGTTTCCGTCCATCATGCTAGGAAATGAATGTTGAAATGGTATATTTCATTAAAAAAAACAAAAACAACAAAACAAAAAAAAAAAAAAACGGAATACGTGACAGAGGAGCCTGCTCACATCGTATCTGGTCAGGAAGCAGAGACTAGAACTAGGGCGTGGCTTACAGTCTTCAAACCTCTTTTCTGGTGACCTGCTTTCTTTAGCTAGGCTCTTAGGCTCCTCCTGAGGGTTTCACAGTCTCCAAACTCCTGTCACCAGGAATTTTGCCATGCCTTCTAGACATAAGCCACAATATACTTTTTTTTTCTTTTAAAAAGGAGTGTGTGTGTGTGTGTGTGTGTGTGTGTGTGTGTGTGTGTGTGTGTAGGTGACCATAGAAACCAGAAGAGGGTGTCAGGCCATCTAGAGTCACAGTATGTTGTGAGCTGCTAAGATTATGTTTTGGGAACTGAACTTGGGTCCTCTGGAAGAGCAGCAAGCCTTCTTAACCACTGATCCATCTTTTTATAGCCCTATAAACTTTTCCTTTTTTTTAGGTATTCTGTCATAGAGATGAGAAAAATAACAAAATAGCAATAGAATTGAGTTGTATAATACAATTAAAAAAGGGAAAAGTGCAAATTGTATGATTCTGTCTTTTCCTCCTCTAATAGTAGAATGTCATTTAAAAGGGGACCCTTCGTACCAGACTGAGGTGTAGAAAAGGGAAAGACAATCTGATTTACTAGGTAGGGCTAGTTGAAATATGTTAGGGGTCATTCATGTTTTAATTTGAGCAATTCATCCCATTGGCAGGCAATAAGTCCCCTCCACATGTAAATGGTGTCTATTACACAAAATTTCAGCTTTCTAAAGGGTTCTTTCAAAGTGTGGCCCCCAGTTCATAACCCGCTGGCTTGTTAAATTGATACAATTAACTGTGCCAAATTGTAGAGAGGGTTGTCCTGCCAATCTTTTGTTCATAATCTAGCTTGGCTTCTGTATGGAAAGTAGGATTCCAAAGGCCTCACCAAGCCTTTGGTTTAATTCTGTCCCGTGCCCAATCAGCACTTGCCCAGGGCACTGCTACACAAAGCATGGTCTTTGGACCAGCACTGGCTCTCTGCAGGACTTGTATGAATCCATGAGTCTGAAAATAGACATATGGTGTTTAGAAACAATAACAGCACAAAGATAAAGCATAAACACGAGCTTCATAGACTTATGCTTTTTAATGTTTAATTTCCAGTTTTACTTTGTGTATATGGATGTTTTGTGTACATGTATGCCTGTACGCCTTGTGCCTAAAGGGCCTCTAGAGGCCAGGAGAGAGCATCGGATCCCTAGGGGCTGGAGTTGCAGATGATAGTGAAGAACTGGGAATCAAATCCTGGCCCTCAAGAAGAATGGGCAATGCTTTTACCTACTAGTCACCTCTTCAGTCCCCACACCTGCATTTATATGTCATTTGATAATATAGTAATTCATTTATCATTTGTTATGAAAGTATCTCTATGCCAGCCAGCCTCTATGAGGTGGCACACACTTTGGATCCCAGCATTTGAGAGTCTGCGACAGGATGATTTTGAGATCAACTTGGGCTACATATTGAACTCTGCAGCTGAAAAAGAAAACAAAATCAAAGCTGGGAAGATTATTCAGTGGATAAAGAACTTGGGGAGGGGCAAGAGTGAGAACTTGAGTCTGAACCCCTGAACCCCCTTAATAAAGCCAGACGTGACAGCATGTGTCTGTAATCCTAATGCTCCCGTGGCAAGAAGGGAGGCAGAGACGGGGAATCCCCATCAGTTGGCAAGACAGCTAGCTTGGCAGATGCCACAGTGCCCAACAAGGAGACTTTCAAACATGTACAGGGTGAAGACCGACACCAGAGCCATTGATGGAGGGACAGGTTAGAGCACACAGAGGATTGAAGATACAGCTAGAAGTGCCCAGTCTTGTGGATTAAGTAGTAACGGGTTGTCGCCATGCATGCTGCCTCCTAAAGGAAGTGCTGCAAGGATGAGTTTGGAATGTTTGATGAGGTTAGCCCAGCCTTCCTCAGTCACAGGTTATCAGCTCTACCCTATCTTCTAAGAGGAGCTCCTTCTCACGGAATGCCTACACGGAAGTCTGCAGCTTGCCTTCGTCACTTCTGGGCCCGAGTATCTTTTGTATAACCATCCAGAGTTGAATCCTGAGAATATTATTTTCTTGGATGATAGAATAACGTGCTTTCAACCCTGGGTAGGGTTTGTATCCCTGTCAGTACAACCACAACAAAACAGTGTGAGCATTTGAGAGAGTTTCGATGCATTTCGAACTGTAATTGTGAGGAAAACTCACTCAGCAGAATAAGGCATTTATAAATGTCTCCTTGGGCTTCACAGGTGACAGTCCTTTGCTTAGTGACTTGGATGTTCTCTGGCTCTAAGAGTGACCGGCAAAGCCACCACAGAGAGAGCTCAGCTTCCCTCTTCCTGTTTGGCCTTGGGCACAGCCATTGCTGTAATTGCCTTTGAGGGGAAGGAAAATGACTTGAATGCCACCTTAGGAAGAGCTAGAAGCTGTGTTTTAGTGGGAACTCCTTGGTTTTCATTATAGCAACATTAAATTTATGCAAAATTGTGGGTCTGATTAGAATTGTTTATATTATGCACAAAAAAATATGAGAATGAACAAGAGAAAGCAAGAGAGGAGAGAGCAAGTGAGAGAGTAAGAGAGAGCCAATTTTAAGAAATTTGCCAGTCATAGATTATAAGTTTCTGTGAACTGAATCAAGGAGTGTTGGATATCATACTGTTACTTTTAGAAGGAAAATATTCTGTTACCCTCATGTCACAAAGTTTTTCTCTAGCAACCTTAGGTAGAATCTATGCATACAGCCTTTTTTTTAAATAACTGATTTTTTTTAAACAATTTTTATTTTCAGAATGAAGTTTGTGAGGCTTCTTGTTTTTTTACATAATTTATTTTTATTTTATGTACATTGGTGCTTTGCCTCCATGTGTGTCTGTGTGAAGTTGTCAAATCTCCTGAAACAGGAATTACAGGCAGTTGTGAGCTGCTATGTAGGTGCTGGGAATGGAGCCGCAGTCCCCTGGAAGAACAGCCAGTGCTCTTAACCACTAAGCCATCTCTCCAGCCCCTGTGCATACAATCTTATGTTTAACCAAGCAGGGTTCTTTGGAAAGAAATTTAGTATTCAAGATATTGTTTTAATGTCTTTATTGTTTGATAATGTCATCTTGGTATACAATGTGTTTTGGTCGAATCTATCTCCCATTCCTTCCTTATCCCCGATAACCCCTCTTCCCCCCAACAACATGTGCTCTTAGAAAAGATGCTTAGTCTGATTTGCTGCTTGTGCGTGCATGGGCTTGACTTTGAAGTTGTGTCAATACCATCCCAATAGGGTGCATCCTTTCTCTCTGCCTCTGTCTCTCTCCTTTCTTCTCTCTCTCTCTCATTAGCCCTCTCTCCCTCAGCTTACTATGCTGCCTGGGTTGCCTTCAAACTCTTAATCCTCCTATATAACCCATCCTCACAAAGGGTGGGAGTAGAGCACATCCATCACACTTAGCATAGGGATATACCTATACGGTAGTCCCTTCTCTAGGCTTTACTTTCCACAGCGTCAGGGACTCTGGTTAACTCTGGTCTGAAAAATACCAAATGGAAAATTCTAGAGAATGGCAGTTCATAGAGTTTAATGATGCCTACAATATACTTTTCTGTTCATTCTGAGTTACTACTGGTTCACTGTGCCCAATTTGTAAGATGCACTTTATCATAGCTATACATATAGCTATGATATATATATATATATATATATATATATATATATATATATATATATATATGCAGAAAGAGACACTACACATATTGGATTTCAGGCATCCATGGGTGTCTTCTATCATGTCCCTCAAGTAAAGTGTGTCTGCAGTAGATGTAAGCATTGTAGTCTGTCTAAGGTGCTCACGGCTGCTCATAAGCCACTGCGCTCTTCCTCTGGCCCCTCTCCAGGTGCTGGCTTAGACGATGGTCAATGGCACTCTGTCTCCTTGTCTGCTAAAAGGAATCACCTGAATGTGGTTGTGGATGGCCATGTCACCCCTGCTTCTCCTTGGCTGGGTCCTGAGCAGTTTACTTCAGGAGGCATCTTTTATTTTGGAGGTAAGAATAAGATTGAGAACACATGATCCACTGGATCATATTTGTGTCCCCAATTCTGTGTCTTGGGGATGACATCTCTCATGCTTTAAGCAGTGGTAAACCTGGGGACTAACTTTTAACTTTCTTTAAACATTGAAATGGTGAGTGGATGAAAATAACAAATTACGACCTAAAATGAATTCCTACAAGGCAGTCTTATCTATGCTTACGGTTTCTATACAGAGATTTATTTTAAGTAGGTCACTTTCTTCAGTCCTCATCTCCAAGCTTTGTTAGATTCCCTAGTGTTAAATGGTCCTTGTTCATTGTTTTCTGATTTGATAGGGGGATGTCTTTGTGAGGCTTTTCTGATCTCACTCCTTGCTCCTCTAGAGTGCTCTTACTGCTTCCTCACTGCCCATTGCAGAAAGCAATATTACAACACCGGACAAATAATTTAACATAATTAGTCATAGCAACTCAGTCTCTTTGCTGAAGAAAAACAAATACACTGGTGCATTTGATAAAACCAGGACACCAGCTTTATCATCAGCCTCTTCCTTAGGGAACAAGAATAAATGAAGTGTTTAGCCATCGTGTGAATGGTTGATTGAAATAAATGCTTGGAAAAGCAGACTTGTGACAGGAGAATTTTTGTTTTTTGTAACTGAAGTGAAAACAATAGGCTCGCTGACACAGGAGCGCACCTCAGCAGCAAGACTTAACTGTGTCATAGCACTTTCAGTATTACCGTTGTTAGGCTGTTGCTTGACTGCAGTTTAATAGTAGCTTTGGTGCCAGGGAGACACATCACTGGTTAAGAACTCATACTGCTCTTCTAATGGATCAGGGTTTGGTTTCCAGAACCCATGTCAGGGAGCACACAACTACCTGTAACTCCAGATCCAGGGTATCCTATGCCGTCAGCCTTTCATACACACACACACACACACACACACACACACACACACACACACACACA